TGATAACGGTTGATGTCTTCTTCTTGCTCCGTTTAGGTTTGGTTTTTTTTTTAACGAATTTGGATGCTAAGACATTTGGAGCATGTAAATTTATTATTGATATCAGGTTGTTGTCTGTGGTTCCTTTCAGCATAATGTAGTTTCCCTGTTTATTTTTTTCATTTTTCAAATGTTTGTTTTTGCTTTGCTACATAGCATGATTGCAGCTCCTGCTTTTTTGGATTCCCTTGATGTATGGCAAATTTTTCCCCTATCCTCTCAGTTTTATTTTGTATAGTTCTGTTTTTTAAATGTGCTTCTTGTAAGCAATTTTTTAAGGTTTTATTTTCTTATCCAACCTGCCCATTTTCCCCTTCATTTTATTAGGTTGTTTAATACCTTGGCATTTAAAGTTTTGAGAGTTAGGTTGGTTTTTTCCTCCATTGTCTATAATGTTGATTTTTTTCAAGTTGTTATTTTTCCTTATTCCATGGCAAACATAGTTCTATGTCTTTTAAGTTACTTTAGCTTAATCTTTCAAAATCTGGCTCAATTCTTACTGACTTTCTTCCCCTTACCCCTGATTCCACCCTCCTGTTTGTTACTCTTTTCTCTTTGGAATTTCTTTTTTCTTTCATGCTTTTATCTAGTAATTTAATTTTCCCCTTCTTTGTTTCCTCTTAGTTAATCAAGCAAATTCCTCCTTCTTTTCCTCCCTTCCAATTAATCTTGCTGATTATTTTTTTTAATTTCATTTTTTGTACCACTTTCCAGAGAGGATTTCTCTCTCTATCTTCATCATCCATTCTCTCTCTCTGTCTACTCTAGACCTTCATTCTCTGGTTCATAAGCCCTTCAATTATCTAGTTCCTGTTTATTCTCTGTATTCCTCATGGAATCAAAACTCCCCAAGTGGGCTCTCCCCTCTAGGCAGTTTCTACCACTGCCTTGTAGAACTTGTTTCATAGATTTCCCTTTTATGTTGTGCTCACTCCCACAAAAATGCCAGTTCTTATAGGTGAAAGAGAAAACTCTGCCCTATGTTAAGTTGCCCTCCAATCTCTGATTGTGTAACCTACCACTGATCTATACCTTCCCCATAATTACTTTCTTTCCCTTTTGCCTCAAAATCTCCTCCCTGTATCTATGCCCTCACATCCCTCTAGGTGCCAGTTGCCTCTATGAGTTCAAATCCACCTACCTGACATAGAATGAGTGGTCTTTTCAAGCACCAGATCCCCCAGACAACTCCAAGTCCAAGGTGCCCATCTCCTTTTATAGAACATCTCTCTTCACCATAGAAGCATTCATCAGTGGAACCTCTTCTCACCTCCAAAACAAGACCTCTCTCTTTTTTATCCCATTTAATTCTTCCTTCCTTCTCTTTACTCATTGCCTTGCAGACTCGTCTCTTCTTTAGAGGCCACAGGGACACATTCCATTCATTGCTAGCCTTCAGTTTGACCCAGAACATCACACACTTCCTTCTGTCTTCCTAGTCCCCTCCCCCATTTTCATGCACCATTCTATTTTGTAACGCAATCCATCAAAACATATGATTCACTTATATGTAGGGTATCACAAAGTTTTGTCCATAAAGCCCAAGACCCTCCTCTCCACTGGAACCTCCACTTGACTTCTGCCTTCACCTCTTTCTCCTTATGTACATTTATAAAGAAGTCTCTTATTAATGTCTCCACTGTAATCCTGTTGCTGTTATTGTCCTTGGCTGTTGCATTTATTCACTTTTCCTGCTCTGTTGTCTAAAGTGTTCAAGGAGAAAATGATAACTCCAGCTTTGGTTTTCTTTATAAGAATGTTTCAGATACTTCTTTGTTATTGAATGTTCATTTTTTTAAAATTTATAGTTAAACTCAGATGTGCAGCATAGGTCACCTTGGGCTATATGTTGAGTTCTATTGCCTTTTTTTTTTTTTAAAACATTATTCCATTCCTGGAAGCATTTTCTGGTGGTTACAGAATAGACTTGTGTTATTCAAATTTCCTTTTCTTTGTATTTAAAGGTCTTTCTTCAGATCACTGTAGAACTTGTTTCTGAATTGAATTTTTTAATTTAACCACTATGTGTCTTAGAGTTTACAGCCTGGGTTTTTTTTCCTACAGGTGATCTATACATTCTATTAATTGATATTTTATTTTCTGAATTCAGAAATTCTGGGCAGTTTTCTTATATTACTTTTTTGCATTATGGTGTTCAGATTTTTTGACTTGTCATGTTTTTCTGGGAGAGCTATAATCCTTAGGATATCTACACATCCTGTCTTCAAGAACAATATGTTTTGGGGGCAGCTAGATGGTGCAGTGGATACAGCACTGGTCCTGGATTCAGGAGGACCTGAGTCCAAATCCAGCCTCAGACACATAACATTTACTAGCTATGTGACCCTGGGCAAGTCACTTAACCCCAAATGCCTCATGAAAAAGCAAACAAACAAAAAAGAAAAATATGCTTTGCTTGGATAGAGAACATATTTTCTTTTAATATTGTGGCTTTTTGCTCTCTTCTTCTAGATTGTCCTTCACATCTGTGTATTTGCTCTTATAGTTAATTATTCTCTCTTATTTCTTTGGTGAAGCTTGCCATCACAGATTCCAGTTTTTCTATTCTGCCGATTGTTTTACTTATTTTATTTTTAAATATAGTAATAAAATAATAATAAAAATAAAACAAGCATGTCCATAAGAGTATAATTGAAAAAAAACATGATCGGACATGAAACTGCAAATCTACAATGTCCAACTTGCTATTCCTTTTAAATATACAACAAAGTCATCACATAAATTTTTTTTTTCCCTTGCTGGTTCTGGTTTCCCTGGGAGCTGGATTTTAACTGTTTCAACTTTTTTCCATGTTGAGTGATTCAAAATTCACTAGCCTAGGTCTCTGCCTCAAGTGATTTTTGGGACAGAATCAACGCTAGATAGATGCCGTGCTCTTTCAGGGGTAATAGTGTACTCCTCTCCCCTTACGTCCTGTCCTGTTCCCATGTCCCATTCCCTCTCTTCCTCAGTTCAGAGTGCTATGGTTTCAGCCAGGATTGATTTCAGTCATTTGGATTTTGGGTCCCTGAGATTCTGGAAAAAGGAGGAGACTGGGATGTGGAGTTGAGCTGTATTTCTGGACCAGAAATGTGTCCTGCCCCTCTTCCTCTGTTCCACCACTCTCCTGCAGAGATCATCTGCAGCACATAATGTTGCTGTGTCATTGCTGCTGAGGCCTTAGCAAATTCCTGTGACTAGAACCCAGCTCTCCAAAGCACTGGAAAGAGGGAGGGCAAAACAGGGTATAGGGATGGGTTTGGTTGCAAACTCATGCCTCGGGTGGCTAGTGTAACCTCACTACCGGTAGAATTACTGGAAATGAGGGAGGGGGTGTTATGTGAGCTCAAGGTAGATATCAGTTCAATTTTTAAAAATGTTTTGTTATGTTCCTGGTGTTCTAGACTAAGGAGACAGCTGAAGTTGTTTTCATTTTGTTGCATAATTTCTGTCTTGGAGAGGTTTGAGAAATGATTTGTGATCATAGAAAATGTCTAATCCTCCGTTTGTTTGTTACATAATCCCAATTCTTTTCTTAGTAATTGTCAAAGATCTCTGGGTTTTAGAGTTCTTTCATTTTATTTTTTTTTTTTGGTTAGGCAATGGGGTTAAGTGACTTGCCCAGGTTCACGCAGCTAGTTAAGTATTATGTGTCTGAGGCCAGATTTGAACTCAGGTCTTCCTGAATCCAGGGCCAGTGTTCTGTCCACTACACCACCTAACTGCCACAAGTTCTTTCATTTTAAAAAGACCTTCTGTTAACTCCCTTAAAAGAGTGGTCTTAGAAAAAAAATATACCGGCTATCTGTGCCCAGAGGACAAGCCTCAATGCAGAAGTTTTATATGCAAATGTGGCTACTCAAAATCTGAAAGAAAAAAAAAAGAGTACCCTATATCACTATAAAGTGTAGAGTTTGTGTGTGTGTGTGTGTGTGTGTGTGTGTTTTGCCAAATCTGTGTCTTGGAATGATTATTTTTAGAGCTTTGTGAAACCTGGATTGGGGAAGATAAGGGACTAGAGACCTATAGGCCTCTTAAAAAGCTATTAAAATAGACCAGATGAGTGGAGTCATGATGAGCAGATAAGGGGACAGATGAGGAAGGTGTTGTGGAGGTAAACTTGAAAGAATTTTCATCTAATTCAATACAGGGGTGAAAGAAAAAGTTAAAAAGAATAATAGACTGAGAATCTCCTTTCTGGCAAGTATAGTGGAGGGGGAAAAGACAGCTGGATGGTATTGTGTGGGCAGCAAAGTGGCACAATAGATAGAGCGATGGACTTGAAGTCAGGAAGACTCATTTTACTGAGTTCAAATCTACCCTCAGACACTTATTAGGCATGGGACCCTGGGAAAGTCACATAACTCTGTTTACCTCAGTTCCTCATCTGTAAAAATGAGCTAGAGAAGGACATGGCAAATCACCCCAATATTTTTGCAAGAAAACCCTAAATGGGATTACAAAGAGTCAGACATGACTGAACAGCAAAAGGTAACATCTTAGATAGAGTACTAGACTTGGAGTCAAGAAGACCTGAGTGCAAATCCAACCTCAAATATTTCCTAGCTGTGAAACCCTAGTCAGATCACTTAAATCCTGTCTGCCTCACTTTCTTCATTTGTAAAATTGGGATGATGATAATAGCACCTACTTTCCAGAGTTGCTGTGATGATAAAATGAGATGTTTGTGAAGTACTGTGCTATATAAATTCTAGCTATTATCATTGTTAAGAGGGGGAGTTTTGAAATGTTTTGGATAGAGTACAGAATGTTTTGTCTTTTAGCCATTGCCTGGTAACTGCTCTCTGTCTTTGAAGTATAGACTGATATCTGTCCTAGAAGAGAAAGAAAAGGAACTACCTCACGGGGTTGTTGTGAGGATCAAATGTGATGATGTATATATAAAGTGCATTGCAAACCTTAGAGCACTATTTACAAGTTGCTTTTTTTTTGTTATCCAGGTTATTAGAAAGAATGGAACATTCCTTTAAAAAAACGAAAGAATAGTTTCAATGTAAAAACAAAAAAGAAAAAGAAAGGATCTGAAGAAGCAGAGGGGAAGTCAGACCTGTGTCAGAGATGTTGGAGAGTGAAAAAAATGTGACAGAAGGAAACAGATCACTGAACACTTGGAGCTAAATAACAGATAAGAGAGTATTCTCAAAGAAGAGGGAGTTGGACTTTACAAGGAAGATATAGCTGATGATAGAGATCCATAAGCACCATCAGGAGAGAGATCATCCAATAAGATTCAGAGGAAGAAGGGATGAATGGTGTTAGCAGTCCTTTATTGACCTTAGAGCAATCAAAAGCTCCTCTGTCTTGTCAGGGAACCTCCCAAGGCAGGTAAAACCAGTTAACTACTCCTCAGGTCTGGTGATTCATAATAGAGGCAGTTAGAAGCATTGCTAAGGGAGAGTTGGGAAAGAAACATAAAAGGGAAAGAAAGACATAAAAAAGCACAAAGAGTGTGTTCGTCACCGATGCCAATTAAAGGCTCCAAAAGGCAAAGGTAAACTTGGGAAATCAGCAGCTGTTTGAGATAGTATCCGAGAACAGGAGCTGTATTTCTCATCACTGCTTAAAATATAGAAATGATAGTTTCTTGGATGGAGTGCTCCTAAGGAGGGCTAGAAAAAATATTCGCCTAGAGTCCTACGAATACAATCCAAAAGGCCTTAACCTGAAAAGGAAAGGGGAGGGGAAAACTTGCCTACTTATTCTCCCAAAGCTAGATTACATAGTGAAGAACAGCTGCAGTTTAAGAAGACATCCAAGAAAGGAGACAGAAATAAAACTCATGGCCTCAGATGGTATCCACGAACACACAAAATAGGAATAATAGTCAAGGAGAAATATAAACACTAATGCAGGGAGGCAATTTTAACCTTGTATCACTGAAACATGATAGAATGGGAACCATGACTCTAGAGCCAATAGTTCATCCAAAAGGAACATCCTTGGTAAAAACAGTGTTGGGGTAGGGACAAGGTGGTACCATCACAACATTATATATTAAAAAGATTTCACATGAGGAAGTCCAGGAACCTGGGGAGCGGTTTGGGAAGATTAGTGGAGATTTGGATAAAGATCAGTAGAGGCAGAAACAAAGGTGCTATTATAATTAGAATGTAAGATAGATACACTACCTGGATACACAGGGAGAGAAAAAAAAAGAAACAGAAGAGCAGTTCAAGAGCACAGCACATGCAAGCATGGCATTGAGGTTGACATGACAGTGATTGTTCACTCGTGTCTGACTGTGACCCCATGGACCACAGCACATCAATGTTTGTCTATTGAGTTTTCTTGGTAAAGATTCTAGAGTGGTTTGCTATTTCCTTGTCCAGTGGAGTAAGGCAAACAGAGCTTAAGTGACTTGCCCAGGATGACACAGCAAGTTAAGTGTCTGAGGTAGGATTTGAACTCAGCCCTCCTGACTCCAGCCCCAGTGCTCTATTCACTGAGCCACCTACACTGCCTCATATAATAATGATAAGGGACTTCAATTATCCAGATAACTGGTAAACCTCATTTTATATACAGAATAGTTAATTATTTCTTGGACTGCTTTAATGACCAAGTGAGAGGCAGCATTTTATAGAGGAAAGTGTGCCAGATTTGGGGTCAGAGGATCTGGATTTAAATATGTCACTTATCAGCTGAATGATCTTAGGCAAGTCATTTAACTCTCTGAGTCTCAATTTCCTTATATGTGAAATGGACTAGATGGCCTCTAAGATTCCTTCTAGATTTAAATCTGTGAAACTATAATTCTCTCAATTTCAAAAAATGGAGGAATTAATTAGGAGAACTGTTATTATAGACCTGATTTTCACCAATGACCTTAGAAGCTATTTAATCCAATCACTTTATTTTTACAATGAGCAAGTTTTGGATGTGGAATATGAGCTTAGGGCTTCCTGGCACCAAGTTTTGTCTTGGGAGAGAAATAGCCAGTCCATTTTAAGCTTTATGGCAAAGGAAAATAAAGATAGGTATAATCTGATATGTATGCTGGATTGTTGAACAGATTTCAAAAGGTTCAGAGAAACTATAGGTAAGATTCCATAACCCAAAATCTTTAGGAGAACTGCTGACATGCTTTTTCCTCTTTCTTAATCTATATTACAAGGGATGGTAGGTACACTGGGAGTGAATATTTGTAAATGAAGGTAATAATAAAATATATCAAGAAAAATAAGAAAAAATGACCTGTGTACAAGAAGTAAGAACAAGTACCAAGATAATAAAAACATGGCATTGTTCCATAAGAAATGTACTAGAAATGTTAAAACTATGAATGAAGTTAAATGAGAAAGCTAACAAAATAAAGGGAGTTTCTTGCCTTTTTAAAAGCCACATTGGGGGAAATAGGAGTCTCAAAGAAAAGATGAGACTGTGGCTCTGGGTGGATGAGACAATGACAATATATAACAGGGAGAAGGTAGAATTAGTTGTAATACCCCTTCTGGGCTACTCTCCCAACACGCTGGCATTCTGTAGGTGTGTAGAGTGTAACCTACTACTCCCTGGTTCTAGGGAGTACTCCATAGATCTTGTTATTCATTCTTTTTAGTCATGTCTGACTCTTTGTGACCCCATGTGGGGTTTTCTTGGCAAAGATACTCGAGTGGTTTGTCATGTCCTTCTCCAGCTCATTTTACAGCTGAGAAAACTGAAACAAACAGGGTTAAGTGACTTTCCTAGGTAACACACCTAGTAACTGTGATACTAGCTCCTAAACCCACAGCTCATAAGCCCCTAGCAGTATGCTTCCTGTCAACAATCAACCAGAAGATACAATTATCCCTTATTGAAGGTATTTAATAGTAAGGAATAGTAAAAATGGTAGCAATAACCCCTACCCCTACCCTTTGCCCTGGCCTGAGGTTTACTCTTCCACAAATACACAATTTCTGGAAACCATACAATGGCAGTGATACTCATGTGCAGGGAATACATGCAACCAAGGATACTTATTCCTCCAGTTTTGCAGTTTCCCAAAGTACTTTTTTCAAAATTTATTTTATTCCCCCTCCCCCTCCAATTACATGTTAAAACAATTTTTTTAACATTTTTTTAAAGTTCTGTCCTTCCCTCCCCTCTCCCTGAGACAGTAAGCAATCAGATATAGATTATACACATGTAATCATGTAAAATATTTCCATGTAAAATATTTGTATAAGAAGACTCAAAAAAAAAAATAAAGAATTAAAGAAAGTGAAAAATAGCACTCTTCAGTCCATAATCAAACAATATCAGTTCTTTAGAGGCAGATAGTATGCTGCATCATTAGCTCTTTGGGATTATCTTGGATCATTGCATTGCTGAGAATAGCTGTCATTCACAATTCTCAACTGAACAGTATTACTGTTACTGTGTACAATGTTCTGGTTTTGTTCACTTCACTTTGCATCAGTTCATGTAAGTCTTTCCAGGTTTTTCTGAAATCATCTTGCTTGTCATTTCTCATAGCACAATAATATTCTATCATAATCATATACCACAGCTTGTTTACTTATTCCCCAATTTATGGGCATCCCTTTGGCTTTCTAATTCTTAGCCAGCACAAAAAAGAGCACTTTAAATATTTTTTTGTACAAATACATCTTCCCCCCTCCCCCTCCTTTTTTTTGATGTCTCAAAGTTGTTACTTTGTGGAGTTACTATGGCTTAACTCTGGATTTCCCAGGCTAGCTCTCTCTTGATTTCATAGTAGGCTCTCTTTTCTCCTGCCAGAGATCCTACTTCTGTAAGCTGCTTCAACCCCCAAGTTACCATTTCTGTCTGGAGTACACGGGTGTCTCTGCTTCCTCAATTGTACCATAAACTCTCAAGCTATCTCCAACTGCTGGAGAGGGTGTCTTCTGGGAAAATAGGTCTACCGTTAGATTTCCTGAATGGGGTGGGGAGAAGAAGAGAAAAATCCCTTCTTCCCTCCAAGAGATAAAGAGCTGATTTCTTCCAAGACTGCTAGTTTCTGCCTTTACTGCCTTGAACCCTAAAACTCTCCAACTGTCTCCAGGACTATTTAAAGCTTTAAAGAGTATGCCATTTCTTTTGGTCATGCAATGGCAATACTCCTCTAAATTTTGTCAGAGAGAGATATTCACTCTTCATAAAGAGATTACTGGATGTTAACACCTTGTTACTATCCTAATATCTCACGATCTGTGATTACATTCTATGGTTACATCAACTAAGCTAGGGAAGGAGGAAGAGTGGAATCTCTTCCCCTTAAATACTCAGTTATTAATTAGCTTCTGTTTTCTCCTAAAGAGAATAATCTTTGGGTTGAAAAGTAAAGAACATAAATTCATAGTAGGCAATTAGAACCCAAGGAAGATGATAAGAGAGCACTTAATTGCCCTCCATGACATTGAGTTATCACGTTGAGATGAGTTGCCTTTCTAGGTAACAAGATAACTGGTGGATGACATTGCTAAGCCACTGTCAGTAGTTTTTGAAAGATTATGATGAATGGGAAAAGTGTTGTAGGAGTGGAGAAAAACAAATGTCTCAGTTCTCTAAAAGAAAGTATTGTATCCATGCCAGTGAATTTGACTTTAATTTTGGGCAAAATTATAAATTTTATCATTAAAGAGATATTCAGGGAACATCTAGAAAAGGAATTGATGATCATGAAGATCCAAAGTGACAATATTACCAAGAACAAGTTATGCCAGACTAATCTCATTTCATGTTTCATTAGGGTTATTAGACTGCTAGATAAGGAGAATATTCCAGATACAGTGCATCTATATTTTGGCAAATCTTTTAACAAAGTGTCTCATGCTATTCTCATGAAAAAGATAGAAGTGGGCTAGATAATGGTACTGTAGTTTGATTCACAACTGATTAAATGAACAAGCCCAAAGGGTCTGTTGGTTAAATGTCAGGTTAGAAGTCTCTAGTAGAATGTTCCAGGAATCAGTAGTAGTTGTTCAACCACTCCTATTTGCTGTTCACTCTACAACGTTGTTACATTGAACTGTTGTTACGTACAAGTTTCTTGGTATATATGTTCCTTCTCCATTTTGAGAAATAGCATCAAATTATATATAATTCTATTCATCTTTTCTGTTAGCTCTGAGCCCCCAGACAGAGATAGTACTCTGGAAAAATATTTCAAGTGTTTGCTCTATCTCTTTTTGTTCTCTAGGAATACTTCCCCTCACCTGTGTCTTCCCATCTGTTTCCAGTAAGTACTTGTATATACCAGTAAAGACCTGTGTTTAACATTGTTTATAAAGACAAAGTAAATTACTAAAACAGATAATGGTAAGCAGACTTTCCTTGTACCCAGAGGGAAAAGTTTTTGTATTCCATGGGAAAGCTTGAGGTGAGAAAGGAATTAAAGGATGATTACCTTAGGAGGGGGGATTCAGCTACAGATCATTTGTATAGCTCCTCTTTGAACCAGATTAGTCTAAGCAACTGTTTTTGCTGAGACTCAGTCCCTTTCTTTTGGCCTATGGCTGTTTTTGTTTGTTTGTTTGTTTTAGCTCCACATGGCTATTAAGAGATTAACTTTCTCTAGCCCCACGCATTTTCTACTTATCCCACCAGAACCTGGGTTCCTCTTCAAGTCAGTCTCTTGGACTCACTAAACTGATTTTTAAAGGACACCAGAAGTAGGGGTATGTTGGAGCTAACTCATACCAGATCAAAAGAGGTGATTACTGATTTTTTGTTATGAATATTTAGACCACAAAAATCAATAAATCTTGCAAATCAGGCTTCACTTTTTGTTTTGTTGATTGTTTAGATTAAAGAGAATGATGGAATAAGGTTAATGATGCAAATTAAACTGTGTCACATGCACAATTTTTTTTTCTTTTTTGGAAAATAATTTGTTAAACATTCACCAGCATACCCTTTCACAGAAATATGGCATGTCCTTTTGTCTCTTATGGTTGTTTTCTTTCTGATTCATTCAAGTGACTCATTCATATCTCATAAGGATATCATATGAACTGGCTTTATTATTTTTTTTTTAAATCAACATTTCATTATCTGGCTCCCTTTCTGTAATTAGGTTTGTGAAAGACCAACACTCTTACATGTACACCTCTCCATTGCCCTTCCTAGTGATCTGCAATTACTATTTCTCAGATAATAATACTAACAATAATAGCATCTATATGTTGTTCAATCATTTTTCAGTCATGTCTGACCCTTTGTGACACAATTTAGGATTTTCTTGGCGAAGATAATGAAATGGTTTGCCATTTCCTTCTCCAGCTCATGTCACAAATGAGGAAACAAAGGCAAACAAGGTTAAGTGACTTGCCAGGGTCATACAGCTAGTAAGTGTCTGAGGCCGGATTTGAACTTAGAGGAAGGAGTCTTTCTGAATCCAAGTTCAGCACTCTATGCCACATAGCTACCCTAGCTAGTGTTTATATAGCACCTACTATGTGCCAAGCTCTGTGCTAAGCATTTTCCAAATATTATGTCATTTAATCCTCTCAACAACCCTGGGAGGTAGACTCTATTATTACCTCTATTTTGCAGATGAGAAAACTAAGGCAAACCAAGGTTAAGCGACTTGCCCAGAGTCACATAGCTAATAAGTGTATGAGGCTAGATTTGGAATCAGATCTTCCTGACTCCAGCCCTACATTGTATCCACTGTGCCAACTAGGTGCCTCAGAGACTGGTGGTCCATGACTTACAGCCATATATCATTACCAGAACAGCGTTATAATTAAAAAGATATTTCAGGTAGGACAGAGGTGGGCAGCTAAGCGGTACAGTAGATAGAGTACTGGGCTTGGAATCAGGAAGACTAATCTGCATGAATTCAAATCCAGCCTCAGACACTTACTTGCTCTGTGTCCCTGGGCAAGTTACTTAACCCTTTATGTCTCAGTTCCTGATCTGTAAAATGATCTGGAGAAGGAAATAGCAAACCACTCTAGTATCTTTGCCTAGAAAACCCCAAATGGGGTCACAAAATGTCAGATATGACTGAAATGACCAAACCACCAAAGGACAGAGGGAATATGAAATAGTTGATATGGTGCAGGATGTGGAGTCAAGATTTGGGTCTGAATCCCTCTTCTGATATTTAATGAATGATCATGGACAAATTGTTTTCATGTCTTTAAACTTTAGTTCCTTCATCAGGAAAACTGGTAGTGATATTTTCTAGGCATGTACTAACTGCCAATACATTTGTAATATCTCATAGGGTTGTTTTGATGCTGAACTAAGATAAGACATTTAAAGCAGTTGGTAAATTTTAGAGAGTTATATAAATGTCACTTGTTACCTCAGTCATTGAATGAATTGCACAATTTTCCAAAATGCTATTCTGCTCATTCTCTCCCACCCATTCAGTTCATTGGTTATTATCAAACATCTTTCTGACTCAGAAGACACATGAAGCAGGGTGATACAATGGAAAGAGCTGAATCTAGAGTGAGTGAGGGTGCTGGGCTAGATAACCCCTAAAGTCCCTCTTGGCTCTAAATCTATGTTTACATGCAAGTAACATTTAAGACAAAACATTCAAAATTAGAAATTAAAATAATCTACAGAACAGGAATGCATTGAAATGAACACCAAGGAGCTTTATTTTTAAATGTTTACTTGAAAAAGATCAACTGTGACGGCTTGCTTTTGGAATTTCTGCCCTCAGGAAACCATTTTTATAATAATCATAATAATAGTTGATGTTAGACATCTGTCACATATTTAATTCTAAGGGTAAAAAAATTAGTGACTAAAAACAACAAACAAAACACTCATCTTGCTTCTACATATTTTTATACACATTTCTCACAACATTTATATATCTATAACTATACTTTTAATACGAAGTTTTATTTTAGTTGGGGATAAAATAAATTTATAAAAATGTTTAAATTCAAATTTTAGTTTACTCTTCCTTAGAATGTAAACAAAATATGTTTGTGTCAATATAATTTTGATTGTGTGCTATAGAGGACTTAATTATTTAACCAGTCTGAAGTACAGTTGAGTTGGGAAACATTATGCAAGAGGATGTTGCTAGGGAGAATCAAAAGTGGTTACCCACTTGAAACAAATTGTTTTCATTGTTAATACAACAAGTCCTATCAGAACTATCCTCTCCCCACCCCTAAAAAAATGTTTGGCTATGTCAGCCTTAAAGCAACACAACCAAACACCTCTTCTAGACAACACTCATCCAGACCACAACAGCCACGGAATTCTCCAGTTTAATTGCATTGGAGGAGTTTTTGAAAGACTGGTCCAAGACAAACAAGACTGAGGAGGCCAGGAAATGGAAACCTACAATAGTACTGAGTCCACAGATTTTGCCAAAGCAGAGTATACAATGGCGTTTGAATGATTTTGGAAAGAATTAAATTTACTGATGTGCAATAAACCTTTCAGTGTTTTTTCATCTTTTTAAAAACTTTTAGTAAATAACATCTTCCTTCAGCTGTATTCACTTTCTTACGTGGTTTGGCCGTGTTTACACGATTCTCATGTTCTTTAATTCATCATGAAACCACATATCACACTGCATATAAACATACATTGGAGGAACAATTAATTTTTCTAAGTCTAGCCTAATAGCCCATAAGATTTCAATGAGGTTCTGGAGAATTCGACCAATAAGCAGGCTTTTATTAAACTCTTACTATGTGCCAGGCATTGTCCTAAGTTCTGGGGATCAAAAGAAAGGCAAAAACACAAAAGCAGTCCTTGCTTTCTAGAGTTTATTTCCGTTGCTCAGATAAATAAATTTTAACCTTTAGCGATATGTGGCTTGGTGCAAGATCTTATTGCAGTAATCCAACTCCATTTGGGAATTTCTATAATATTTGTCAGAGTTCATTGATCCCTCAATGGGGGCATGACTTCAAAGGCCACTGGAAGCAAAAAAAAAAATCCCCAAAACATTTTTAAAGGGTGGCTATTTTGGTCTGATAAAAATGTCCAGATCTTATAGGCTACCCTGGACTTCTGACAATTGTTTGAATATAACCTTGAATGAAAGAACGAGCTACATCAATGAAACCTCACCTTTCCCTTTGATCTTTAGTCCTCCAGTCCTGGTACAGTGTTATCTTGCTCATTACAAAATTCATTTTTCATAGGATGAAGGTCTTAGTTTCACAGTATGACAGTATTTCCCGAGGATTAATCAGGATGCTTCACCACAACAGTCTGTAAATCCTAGGTTTTATTTTTTATTTTTAAATGTACTTTCGTTTGTGCTTCAGCTGATGGTGTTTCATTGTGGACCTCAATTCCTGGGGGGTAGCTATGTGGCATTATGAAAGGAGTGCCAGATGGAGTCAAGAAGACTTGAGTTCACATCCTGCCTCAGACAGTTCTTAGCTGTGTGGCCTTGGGAAAGTCATTTAACTTCTGTCTGTGTTAGTTTCCTTATTTGTAAAATAGGGATCTAACAGCATCTATCTCCTAGTGTTATTGTGAAGGCAAAACAAGACAATGTTGGTAAGGCACTTTGCAAACCTTAAAGTACTACATGAATGCTAGCTATTGTTGTTAGTTATTTTTGAATGATATCACAATGTTGGGGTCAGGGTACAGTGTGTTCAGCTAATCAGCCCAATGTGAGTTCAGAAGGCTCTACCACACATCCAGCACAATTAGTCCATTAGAGCGTTTGGGATAGAAACGTCTGAATTTGCGAAGGTCATATTTCCTTTGTGCTCCCGTGATTCTGCTTTATTCATGGAGTACAGAGCCTTCTTTGATACCAGCACATGGGTGGCCCTGTGCCAGCCTCTCCCATGTCTCACAATTGATACTAAAGTTTTTCACAGAGACCTTGAGAATGTCCTTGTACTCCTTCTTCTGACCACCATGTGAGTGCTTATCTTGTGCGAGTTTTCCATAAAATTAGATTGATAATGATCCTTGAAATTCTTGACTGCCCATATCATCTGCTGCAATATCCCAAACAGTGAATGAACTGCACATATTCTCTAAAAGCTACAACTTTTACACCTTTCCTTGGAGTAATATTTATTTGTCAAAACCACAGAATTAGAAACACAACAAATAACAGAAATAAAACATGTCGGCCCTTAATTTGGGATGGGGGTGGGGATAGAGGCAATATGACAGAATGGGAGACTATGTGGAAGATAGAGACACACAGCCACAGCTCTAAGGAGCAGAAACTTTGAGAGGAGAGAAGGCCAAGAGGAGCTATAAGAGTGGAAGCACACTTTTATAACTGTGGAAGCACAGTTGCCATGGAAGTGGGAAAATTGCTGCAGAGATGAGGTCACCAGCACTAGGACTCCAGAGGTCGAAGCAGCAATGTCTAAGCTCATAGGGTGGATCCTGCTTTGCTTTAACCCATCCAGATGTTGTTGATTTCTGCTTCATGTCTGTCCTTTCTGTCAATATGCCTGTTCCCCAGAAAACTTACCTCTGCTTCTTAAAAAGTTTGTGTACCTTTTGTTGATTTAAAAAAAAATTGATAGCTTTTATTTTCAAATTGCTTAAATTTTCCCCTATATCCATCCTGTCCTTCCAAAAAGCTGTGTGGGACAGCGACCCCAACCCAAATTAAACTCAGAGACCTCATGGTGGAAAGTGAAGGTTACCTCTATTACCATCTCCTGAGATGGCTGTCTGCTCCTTCAATACACGTGGAGAGAGAGAAAGAGAGAGACAGAGAGAGAGAGAGAGAGACAGACAGACAGACAGAAAGACAGACAGACAGACAGACACGGAGTAACAGGGGCCGCCTTATGAAAGCAAATCTCCGCCCACCACACAAACAAATTTCCACTCATCACTATCCCTTACCCCCTAAGCTGGGGGTGGGCTTACATTCTAAGCTCGAAAGTTTCTTCCTATCCTCTTAACTGGAAGGTAAGGCTTCCATTCTAGGCCCGAAATTCAAAGACAAGGAAAGAGGCCGGAAGCTCAGGTTGGGGGTGGGGCAGGGCTTATTCTTTCTGTTAAGTGCTTAAAAACAGGGTTTAAGTAGGGGAGGATTTTGAAAGTAATAATATCAAGAATTATTTGACCCTTTGAGGAGACTTCACTTCTGAGAGTTCATTTCTCACACTACCTTCTGAACTCATTACCTTAATTACAGAGAAGTCTTCACTGGGACATCCCATTCAAAGCTATCCCTTATAGCAAAGATTTAAAAAGAAAGAAAGAAGAGGAAACATCCAGCCAAACCTATCAATTCATTGACAAAATCTGACAACATATGCAATTTTCCACACCCTTGAACCCCTACCCCAACCTCTATAAAGAAGTGAGGAAAGATAGTTTCTCATATGTCTTCTTTGGGGCCAAACTTGTGTTTTGAAATTTTGCAAGATTTCTTTTTGATTGTTTTGTGGTTGTTGCCTTCCCATTTACTTTGTTGCATTGTTTTCTTTGCTTCTGTTCATTTAAATCTTTCCATGCTTCTCTGTATTTATCATATTCATCTCTGTCTAAACCAGTAATTGTGATAAATGTGGTTAACTATTGCATTGCTGGCCTATGCATTGCATAGCTTAAAATGCAGCATAGAAGGTATAATTAAGGAACATCCAGGAGGAGAGAGAGATAGAATTAAAACTGCAACAATCTTCTGGCTAGGAACTTAAAGATGAAAAAGAGAATCATTGATTTGTTTTAATTAAGTCCCAGGGCTGAAAGAAAATATTTATAGCAGGACTTCTTTGGGCAAGAAATGAGTAAGCTGTGGCTGAGTTGGGGTGGGGTGAGTGGGAGGAGTAAGGGGAAAGGGGAGAAAGTTGTGAGTAGCTAGGCTGGTTTTAGAGGATGGTCAGAAGGAGTAGCTGGGAGAGACAGAGAGTCACATCCAAGTGGGGAAATAGCTCCACCCACACAAGGGTTGGGGCTAGTGAGAGGAAGTGACTGACCTATTTACCTGCACTGCATAGCACCACATCATTGCTAAAAGGATAACACAAATCAATACTCAGTTGGTAAGAGGTTTTGTCGGGAGAGTTGATAGGGAGCATATGTGGTAGATATACATTTATTATGAATCATAGAACATTAAATCTGGAAGGATGCATAAAGATCAATCCTCTTTTTTGACATAAGGAAACCTAAAGGCAAAGTTGTAACTCTTAGGCTGTCAGAGACTTTGCTCCAGGGTGCCAATATGGGGAAGGAGGACAGAGGTAGCCTGCTTTCTTCTTCCCCACTTGGACTTTTGGCTAACTGTCCCAGCTCCTCAAAGAGGATCGTGCCAGGTAGTGACCATGGCTCCCTCACCATCACCTGAAGGTGTTACCCCCAGGGTCCTCTGGATGTGGTGCTTCTCTTCCCAGACTGGTCTTTACTTCTGCCTTATCCTTGCTTGCTGTCTTCACTCTGTATCTTTTCAAAGGTGGGTAAGCAGGAAGTGAAAGCAATTTGAAGAGGCATAGGTTGCTTCCTCTCCAACTGCTTTGTACCCTGGGCAAACTTCTTCATGGTGAAGTGACTTGTACAAGGTAACAAAAATAGTAAAAAATTAACTTGACTAGAATAAAGTAACATTTTCAGAAAGTATAGCCCTTTCTAAATATTCTGAAATTGTTTATACATGTTTTTGCCCCCTATTTTTTTGAAGCACTAACACAATATTTTTCAAAAGGTTGAATATTTTAATCTTTTTTTTTGCATCTGGTTTTCTGTTTGAAAAGTCACAATAATAAGTATAAGCAGTTTCTATTTTTTACTTTCAAAGGGAAGTACAAAATGTGTAGAAAGTAAAAAAAAGTAATCCCAAATTTAGAAACAAATCAGATGTCAAAGTGTTGGACAATTACATCCACAGTAGATCACCTCAGAACCAATCTCTAACTTCTAATAATTTAAAACTTGAAGGGAACCAAGAGAAGGGTCAGGTCATTGTGGGGTTGGTGCCACAGTGAACAATTGCAACCTAGCCAATAGTAACTTAGTCAACAACGGTAACTGTAACCAATGGCCCAGGACCTCAGGTCAGTGTAAGACTGCTTTCTATATTTATGTTTTGCCTCTGATCTGAAGTTTTCTCCAGAAACCACAGAATATAGTTCAGTGATAGCTTATATCTAGGTCTCCACAGAGGTAGCTTTAAAAGTTCCTACCTACCATGCAAGCACTTGAGGTAACAAAGCATATGGAGCACAAGAGAAAAATCCAGGAAATACAAAGGACCCACAATAGCCAATTAACAATAGATACAACTCTCTTTTTTTTTTTAATGGTAAATCCTGCCTTTTCCCAGGGCCCTGAAGGGTTCTCCAGAATCACAGCATAGCCCTGTAGTTTGAACTCTCCGAAAAAGGAAACGCTTGAGGTTGGGAGAAGTAGCACCCTACCCCAACATTCAGATTGATTCTAGTGCTTCCCAGGTTATACAGTCAGGCCTC